ACCGAGCTTACGCTGCGGTCTAAACCTAGCCTCAAGTCCTCCAAACTGACCCATCACTAGAACACAGATAACACATCTCGCACCTCATCCATAGAGTCAAAAGTCACTAATGTACAGCTGATACCGAGCGCTCACATACGCATACAAGTGAGTGGAAGGAATTCAAAGAGTTACACTTCAAGCTAAATCAATATCGCACGATAAGGAAAGAAAGATGGGAAGTTTATCCTAAATGCCGGTAGCCTCTTAATGATAGGTATGAGTGATCAGAAGTTTCATCATACCGATCCACAAGACTCTACTAGACACTTGCTCATTACTCGTAGAACCTATGAACCTAGAGCTCTGATATCAACTTGTCACGACCCAAAAATTCAACTAGTTGTGATGACACCTAACCCAACCCGCTAGGTAAGCCAAATAACAACAATTCAATTCAAAAGAGATTTACTGAGAAAATAAGTGATGAAATAACTGAACTTTAAATACATTATCTGTTTGAAATATACATGAACAAATTAAAAAATCTAAAGCTACCAAGAACAAGAGGCATCTATGGCCGAAACACAGGTACATCTTCAATTCCATCTCCCGCCATACACAACAACATCAATATCCAAAAATCTGCACGCAATGTGCAGAAGTGTAGTATGAGTACAACCGACCCCATGTACTCAATAAGTAACAAACCTAATCTTAGGTTGAAAGCAGTGACGAGCTTGGACAAAGGTCATAGTCCAACACCAATAGCCAAGAACAATTCGTAACAATACAACAAAAACAATACAAGTAATGACTCAAAAATATGATGCTCAGCTCATTCACAGGTACGGAAAAATAGTCATGCTTTTCAAGTATAACAGTAAAACCCAGTTCCTACACCGAAATCACAAAAATATGAGTAAGTCCGAAAAATAGTGATTTTTCCCAAAACCCTTCAACGATAAAGAAGATGTTTCATTATCAGATAGAATGAGAAAAGTACATCTCTATGCGAACATGTCAATGTGCATGGGAACTCGTAAATGTCACCAAACCATGTAACATGAGGGAATGTATCTCTATGTCTGTGTGTCAAGCATACATGTCAATGCAATGCACCACAATGATGAACTCATGTACCCACACTCTCAGAGTACTCAATCTCACTGTCTCACACTCCCACTCATCACGCTCAATCACTCAACACACTCAGTCACTCAGCATTGTACATGGCAGATCCAACCTAAACGCTAATAAATCATGTTGCGGCGCCCAACCCGATCCTATCGTGAATCAATATCAACTGCGCTCACTGTGGGTGTGGAGACTCCGGAGGGGCAGATCTAACCCAAGTGCTATGATAAGCCAATCATGGCATGAATCAATAAAGCCTGATGCGGCGTGCAACCCGATCCCATCATGAATCTATAATACTTGTTGCAGCGTGCAGCCCGATACCATCAATATCACTCACAATCCGGCCCTTAGGCCCGAACTTAGTCATCAATCTCTCCAGTCTCTCAGGCTCACAATGTCATGAAAATCAGCCCAAAAATGATGATATTATGTATTAATAAATAACAACCGAGACTAAAATATGATATGCAAATGACTGAGTATGACTGAGTATGTTATTACAATGTAAGCAAATAACTCAACAGCAGAAATGACCTCAGTGGGTCCCAACAGGATAAGAATATAGCCTAGACATGTTTTCTAGCTGGATCACAACTCAATTACTCTAGCACGTAGAAATTGAATGAACAGGAACAAGTTTAGGCCACTACATAGTACCACAGAATCAATCGAGTCATAATTCACACGGTGCGCGCCCACACGCCCGTCACCTAGCATGTGCGTCACCTCAATCCCTTTATATAACACGTATATTCAGGGGTTCATACCTTCAGCACCAAGTTTAGAAGTGTGACTTACCTCAAGCGTGTAAATCTATATTCTAAAAAGCCATTGTCTCGCGAATTAGCCTCTGAACGCCTCGAATCTAGCCACAAACAATCTGATACAATCAATACAAGCTATAGGAATCAATTCTATATGAAAAACGCTAAGTTCTTAATCACGCTCAAAAAGTCAACTCAAAAGTCAACATTGAGGCCCACGTCTCGGAATCCAACAAAACTCACAAAATTCGACAACCCATTCATTTTCGAGTCCAACCATACTAATTTCACTCAAATCCGACTCCAAATCGATGTTCAAAACTCGAAAATTAGTTTTATGAAATTATAGACAATCCTTCCGATTTCTCTTTCAAAATCAATAATCATACGCCGAAATAAAGATTAATTCCTGAAATATAATCACAACCGAGTTAAGAATGCATACCCCAATTCATGTGGTGAAATTCTTCTCCAAAGTCGCCCAAAATTGAGCTCCAGAATCCCAAAAATGAATAAAATGACCAACCCTCAAAATATAGATTCTACCTAGGTTTGCTCCTTCTTCGCGATCGCGGAAAATGCTTCGCGATCGCGAAGCACAAAAACTTAGCTGCCCAGAAAACCTCTTACGTGAATGCGGGAAAATCACCGCGTTCGTAGTGAACAAAATCGCCTGTCACCAAAATACACTACGCGAATGCGTACAGACCTACACGAACGCGAAAACCAAGCATTCCTGATCTACGCGAACGCGACCCTTTTCACGCGATCGCGAAGAGCAAAGCGCGTGACCCTAGCTCTGCCTCATTTCCTCTTCGCGAACGCGAGTTCCTCATTGGTTCGCGATGCACAATTTCTCACACCTACGCGAACATGTTACTCTCTTCGCGAACGCGAAGAACAAATCCTCACCTGCCCCAAAATACTCTTCACGAACGCGTATAAGGAAACCAGCACCAGCAAAATCAGCAGTCCTCAAGTTCCGAAATGCGCCGAACATGGTTTGAATCACACCCGAGGCCCCCGGGACCTCAACCAAACATACCAACAAGTCCTAAAATATCATACGAACTCGCTCGAAGCGTGAAATCACAGCAAACAACACTAAAACCGAAAATCGCGCATCGATTCAAGCCTAATGAACTTATGAACTTCTAACTTCTACATTCGATGTCGAAACCTATCAAATTAACTTCGATTGACCTCAAAGTTTGCACACAAGTCATAAATGACACTACGAACCTATTTCAATTTTCGGAATCGAAATTCGAACCCGATACCATCAAAGTCAATTCTCGGTTAACCTTATAAATATTCCAAACCGTCAAATTTCCAACTTTCACAAATTAGTACTGAAACCTTCAAGAAATATCCAAATGAAACTTCAGGCATACGCCCGAGTCCAAAATCACCATCCGGACTTAACGGAACCATCAAAACTTTGTTCCGATGTCAAATACTAAAAAGTCAAACTTGGTTAACTCTCCCAATTTAAAGCTTCAAACAAAAAATTCATTCTTCCAAACTAATTTCGAAATACCTAAAAACCAAAACTGACGATACACACGAGTCATATTACATTATACGGAGCTACTCAAGACTCCAAATAGTTGAACGAAATGCTAATTCTCAAAACGATCGGTCGGGTCATTACATAGGGTCCACGTACCATTCGGTCCCGTTTGTTAGTGGGTTAGGATGGGCCTACCGGGTCGTCCCGTTTATCCCGTCCTGATCAAATGTCGTCCCGTCCCGTCCCGTCCCGATAATTTGGTCTTGTCCCGACCCGTTCTGTTGGAGAGCCTTAACCTGCGGTAAAAGCAATAGGTTAAAGTTAGGCAACACAAGGAAACTTATACAAGGATATCTTGCAACTTTTTAACAATATGGGTGTTTGGAAATTCGATGGTCCATGCCGAAAAGTTTTAAATTCCTGGTGCAACAAAAATACAGTCAAACTTCTCTATAACAACCTCGTTTGTTCTGATATTTTTTGGCTGCTATAGTGAAGTGTTGTTATAGATGACATATATTAAAACATAATATAAAAATCGGTTCCGAAAAAACTTGACTTTTATAGTGAATGACTATTATATAGATATGATGTTATAGAGAATTCTGATTGTACCAAGTTAAAACCATGTCTAGCTTTGTCTAACTTCCTCTTTTTCCAAATAACTTTCTAAATGCAGTAATAACGTGATAAAGTATGCGGAGATTAGTATCATCAGAAATTAATATAACCTCACGTTATTACTTATTAGCCACTTATCATCATCCGAGAGCTTTTATACGTAGTCTGACTTGCATTCCTTTATACTGGTCTCTTATATCACAAATGGTCAACTAAATCTTTACTTGAGAGAGATTAATAGTCCATTGCCCCCCCCCCCCCACCAACCCCAATCCCAAACTAGTCTAAACTAACTACTCTATTCCTTCCTTTACTTTTTGTTCCATGTTAAAATTCGGGTATATTACCGTCTTAAGTAATCAGTTGACTAGATGATCTCCATAATCTAATTAGATAAAATTTCACATCATGCTACCAAGAACCTGTTATTTTCACAGTACAACAACTATCCAACCAGTGCCGTTTCTCTTTTTTCTTTTATAATAGTGGTTGTCCGAGCCAGCCTCTGCAACTACCTGCTACCAGAGGCGGAGCTAGGAAGGCGGAAGGAGGTTGCGAACCCCCTTCACCCTAAAATTACATTATGTATATAAGGTCAAATATTTTTCACCATGTACATATATAAGATGTTGAAACCCCTTAGCTTTTTCTCGTGTTTACCTTTATAATTGTTAGAATCTCCTTTGTGAAAATAATACTTCCGCCACTGCCTGCTACCTCACACTAGCACAACTACCATGGAACAATGTCCATCAGAGCTTAGACAGATGACGCCATATCACGTTCACCGTCAGACAAAAGAAGAATGCTTAACTGTTACAAAACTGGCAGCAAATGAAATCAGCGAGGTCCAAGTCGAGCACTGGTATTTTTGGTAAAAATAGCTGCAAAACTGCTATTAAGATAGCTTTACATAAGATTAGTACCATGTTCAGGTGAAATCTTAATGCAAAACTGCTAAAAACCAGTAGCCGCAAAACCAATCAGGTCTAAGCCAAGCACTGATATCCATAAAAATTGACAATTGTACATCATCTCTTCATTGGAGTCGGTTTTTGGTGAAAACATCTGGCTATTAATATAGCTTTACATATGAAATTAGTACTACCATGTACAGGTGAATGGAATTGGTCTCTCAGATGCAAAGCAGTTTACACCAAAAGAATATTTAACCCGTTAACCCTACCTCTTTAAACCATATGTACTCTTCTACCCTTAGAGGGGAGAAGCATTCCTAACTTTGTTTTCAAAAAACTTTGAAGGAACGAAAAGGCCATGTTTCATCAAGAATTCCTCCAACATTTTAAAGTCAACAAAGAATCCAGAATCTACAGGAGGAGCTTCAGGGGACAATATGTTGAATCCTGTGGAAACTGGTGCCTCTGAAGGTCCAGAAAATAATCAATCATCATACTGAACGTCCAAATCGGGTGTGCTTTCAATTAACTGAGAAAATCTGCTTACCTCCGTTGACTTTCCAGGGTTAGGATTATATACCTTACCCAAATTGTTAGTTTGGCTAACATGTGTTTCCCAACCAAAGTCAAAATCTTCGAAACTTGGAACAAAAGCATTTTCGCCTTGATATCCATGTTGGGAAGTACTTTGGCTATCAGATGATGAAATTTGCTGTCTACATAGTTTAGGTTGGCAAGCAGAAGTGTTCTCGTGCCTGCTTCCGGAGGCGCTTCCTGTCCAAGCAGGGGAAGGCAAATGGCCATTGCAGGGGATTGAACTTCTAGATGAGGTTCCATCATCTGGCTGATTGGACAACTGGGACACCGAAGATTGCTGAGGCAAATTGTTAGTAGAGTTTCCGGCTGCATACGGTTGAGAGAACATTTGGGCTTCAGATGATAATGGGTTATTGTACATATTACCCACCTTTGACTGGGAGGATACTGCATTTTCAGATGAAATAAGACTTTCAAATTCACTTAGAACACTAGGAAGTGTAGATAAGTGATGTTGAGAAGGTGATGAATTAGCATAGGGTAGAGAGAATGCTGGAGCTTCCGAAGACGCCGAATTTGCATATACACTAACTTGTGGCTGAGAGGGTATCTGAGGTTCCATTGGTGCATAATTTGCAGATGCATCCACAAACCTAGACTGCCTAGGTAATTGAGGATGGAATAAAACAGCATTAGCACCAAGCATGCCAGCACTGGGCTGGGAGGATATCTCAGGTTCCATCAGTGCATAATTTGCAGATACACCCACAAGACTAGGCTGCCTATGTAATTGAGGTTGGACAAAAACAGGATTAGCACCAGCTATGCCAGCACTGGGCTGAGACGGTATCGCAGGCTCCATTGGTGCATAATTTGCAGATACACCCACCAGAGCAGGCTGCCCATGTACTCGATGTTGGGAAGAAACAGCATTAGCACCACGTATCTCAGCATTGGGCTGAGAGCGTATCTCTGGTTCCGTTGGTACATAATTTGCAGAGGCACGTGCAAGACCAGGCTGCTTATGTAGTTGATTTAGTTGACGTTGGCAAGAAACAGAACTAGCACCAAGTATACCAGCATTGGGCTGGGAGGAAGCAAGATATTTATTCGAGCCTACAGGCACCCTGCCATAATGCTCTTGCCACCTAGCCACTGAAGAATGAGTTCCACCAAATTGAGGCACAGAACTAGCACTGGATGAATTATACCCCGATCTACCAGTTGCCAAAGCCTGTCCAGATGACCCTGCCCTTTTGAACGCTGTTCGGATAGTTAAAAACTGGGGACCCGTGTGACTAACATTGTGCCTTTTGTCCCTTGGACTAACGTTAATGCTTGCATTGCGCAACTGTTGGGAGACAACATGGCTATGAAATTTGTCTCTAAGATCAGTAAGTTGCTGTCTCGCTAAATTCGGTAACCCAGGACTGCTTGACATAGAACAAGGACGAATTGGGGCTTGTCTAATTCTTTGGTTCTGTGGCGGATAATTAGGTGATCTCCAAACCAAACCTGGAGCTTGGTTAGATACAGGTGGGTGAACAGATACTGAAGTATTAGGGCCTGGAGGGACTGATAAAAGTGCTATATCAATTTTCCTTGTGCTTTGTCTCTGTGATTTCCAATACTTCTCCTTGTCAGTAGCATGACAATGGGCAACACCAGTGCACCAGTAGACACATGGAGCAAGTGTGTCACAAACGTAACAATGGCACTGAAATTAAGAGAATAGTGATCAAATTACAAATTTTTGCACAAAAAATGGACTTCAAACAAAGGATATAATTACCTGATCACAGTGCCTTTCATGTGGAGTAGAACCAAAGGGAAATTTAGCACAAAGATGTCGCGGATGTGGATAATCTCTGCAGGCAATCTGAAAAAAGTAAGACAAGCAGAAGAAATCAATGGCAGAAAAACACCTCCAAACTCCCAAGCGAAAGAATGTAAGTCATATATTGGACAATTGTAAAAATAAATTTTGTAAAAATGTACATGGAACAAACAAGGAGAATTTTCCATTTGGCACTTCTTACTCCGCAGAAAATTGCAATGTTGCTGATTACATTAAGTGCATTAGCCATTGAATAAGTCATCAATGTGTCTTTGTGCATGCTCATAGTGGACACAGCCAGCCTTCATCATGTGGAAAGACCATGCAGGTGAACTATTGCATAAACAACTATTCAGTATCGACTACAAGTTAAGCAAGCTCGATAGAGGGACAAGGTAAGACATGACTTATGTATTGGTCATTCCCCAAATTACATGGGTTATCTTACTAAGATAAAGGTGCAGACAATCTCATCTCCAGAATGGAAAAATTGCCGAACAGGGGCAGGGGATGTAACCTTATCCACATAATTCATATCGAGGAAAGAAAAAGTCGAGAGGTTTGGCAGTCAAAACCCGAATTGATTTAAGGTTACCTTGTTGAAAATGTCCTTTGTCATACTTAGGTAAAAATAAATATGTGATCATTGTATGGAGGGAGGGAGAGAGGGAAAAAAAAAGGGGAGGGGGGGGGGGGGGGGGGGGGGTAAGGGGGGGACGGGGAAGTCTAAAATAAAGTTATTCATCGAATCACGTAATTCCATGGTATGCTCTGATTCACCCATCTAGCTAACGTGATAGGGAGACTACTATCACTCAGTCAGTTTCACTTCCTAAGGGAACGTACATGGAAATGGTACAGTTAAAAGTTAACCAAGCTTCAATGTTTGACTTTTTGTGAGAAACACAGTTTATAGCAGAGAGAGATGGCAAGAGTGGACAAAATCCTAACTGATGTAAGGTGCCTACCTTGTATACAATTTCCTCATTACAGGGGTTGGAATATTACAAAATGTTGTATATAAGTGAAATCCAACAGTATGACAATGTCCTTTATGAATTTCCAGGGTTCAACTAGAGAGATGATGATATGTCCACACATACCGGGAATAATAAACAGGTAAGGGTGCAGTTCAATTCATCAATGCCATTCAGGCATTCACTGCCAAATATATAAATGGAAGAAGCAACATGATAGACATTCCATGGTATATGTTATTTATCTGTCCATTCTGATCTTGTCTCTTTGAAGCATAAACCTTAAAGTCACTGAGGCTTGAGCCAGCATTATGGAGACCTCTGACCTGACTTCCCACCAGATAAATGATAGAAGCTTCTTGTCGAGATAAAGGACCCCGTCCTTAAGGGAATCCATTTAACTGCACCCACTTCGGTAGAGGAAATATCAAAAACACATGTTCTACATATGGTGTTGTCTTCTAGTGCTGCAACTGTGGTCCAAATAGAAAATCAAAATCCTTTAAGGAATCAGACCACCATGATTACTAGTGTTAATTAAGATAAGTTCCTAAACTTAGCGCAGCTAAGGAGTCATCTATCACCTATGTGGCACAAACAAGTCAACTCAAGTCTCTTGCCTCACCAACTCTTTGTCTCATACCTACTAGATTTTTTTATTCAGAAGCCTAAAACTCTAAAATCAGTAAACTTGCCAAAAACTTTGATTGTTCTATCAATTTAGCAACACATATGTTCTTGTACAGGAACAAGGTATGATATGGAGGCGTGAGTGGACAAGGGCTTTACTTCTCTCGGCTAGTTCATCTTCCATGCGCGGCCACTGATGTTCCCTCCTCCACTTATCCATAGTCGTGGACATTCACATCTTTCAAAACTTCAGTGAATGTCTCTTCTAGTGAGCCTTGCCAGCTTGAAGGGGAAAAAAACACATCCTCTCTCAGATGAATTAATAATCGTGCATATCGATTTGAACTTGTTCATACTAATGAATGGATTCTGAGTCAAGTTAGTGTCAGATTAGGGTTTTTCTTTTTAGATGACCGAGAAATTCGTCCAACCCTTAAGACCAACCGCAACCCTCAGAACTTGGGGATGATGGGTCTGCCGCTCTACCCTTCTCTACTTAAATATCAGGTTTTCGTTTACATGGCGCAAGGATCAATCTTGTAGTGTCTTTATCGGCGCCTATTTCAACAAGGATTGCGCTGACATATGATTTCTCTATGCCGTAAGAAAAGTATTTGCTCCGCTCGTAACCCTCTCCCCACTTATATCTTCTTAAGCTTCCATCGTTATCTTCTTCATCTATTTTTAGGTTTACAAGTGCCCAAATGGAAACATGTGATGATTGATAAAACACCTGCCTTTTTTATGATGTAAGTTGTTGATAAAACACCTGCTTTATATGCGAATAAGTCTTTGAATTAGTACCATTACCGGCTGAACATAGCAATACATATTAGGCCAAATGGACAAGTTGATCAGCTCAAGGTTAATCTTTTGAACGAAGAATACACTCAAGTTTATGGATGGGATGATGTCTATTTCTATCCCGTTGCTAAGATTGTATCTATGAGCATTCGTATCTGTGGCTGCCATGAGACATTAGCATGTTTATCAACTTGATAGCAAACATGCATGGTGGCTTAGAGGAAGAAGTCTATAAATGAGCTAACACCTTTTGTTGTTGTTTAAGATAGTCTGGTTTAGCATGTCAACTTCGTCGATCATCTTTATGTCCACAATCTTCACGAGCATAGTTTGGACACTTCAATTCTGCAGTCATCAATCTGGATTTGTCCTTAGTAAACTGGATCATTTCATTTCGTTGACACTATGGACAGGGTTTGAGTCTATACCTTGTCATATATGGTTGTTAGAGCTAGAGATGAACAAAAAGAGATTGAGGCGCTAAAGAGTCAGCTCTGTACTCGTTTTCAAACCAAGAAATTAGGAGGCTTAAATTTCGTCTCAGCATAGACATTGTTCAGTCCAACTAGAATATATTCATCTCTTCCTCTAGATTTTGGATAAAACTAGTATGACCAACTGACGATCAATGAGCACACTTCGGGAACAGGGGAGCCCGTATCAGAACCAGAACACCATAAGTAATTAGTAGGGAAATCAAAATATTGCCCGGATATTTCATCTGAAGTCAGTGTCGTTAGTCAATTTCCACAAGATCCTAAATGATAGTCACGGGATGTTGGGGTATGAATCCTTCCATATACTTTTATACAATGATCAAGGAACCAACAAAATTTTCTATTACGCCAATGGAGGATAGGTCGGATCTCCATCTGACAGGTGGTCCATGTGCAGCTACACCGTATTAAATGGCGGAACGTAAATCTATTGAAGAAGTAAGACGCAAAATGTGGTTCAAAGCAAAGTATAGAAGAACTATGACCTTGGAAATATGTGAAATTAGGTGGTCGAGCAGTTACTCGAGTTAAAATTTGAAAAATTAAAGAAAAGGAAATGTTTTGTGACAATCAAACTGCAATGTGCATTGTGTATAATTCAGTAATTCCCGAAGAACTAAAACACATTGCGATCAATTGTCATTTTATACGTAAGAAAATACTACTCTAAGATTATCTACCAATTTTGTTATTTCAAATGATCAGTTTGTAGACATGTTTACCAAAGCACCCCGAGGTCCAAGAATCGAGCACAGGTGCCCAAACTTGGAGCCTATATTGTTACGCTCTAACTTGAGAAGGAGTATTAGAAGACATCCACATCGAATAAGTGATAACATGTATAAAGGTCAAGAAGATAAGCTCACCCACATGGAGATTAATGGTAAAGTCAAAAAGTCAAAAATACCTAATAAAAAAAAAAAACCAAAGTCAAGGAATGAATAATCACAACAAAAGTATAGCCCCAATAATTTATTACATTCACACAAACTTCTAGGTTTTGTATAGGATTAAGGTGTGCTTTGTAACATAAGAATCATCAAGTAAGAATTCTCTAGGTTCTCTCTAGATTTCTCTCTTTCACTCTAGTTTCTCTTTCTTGTTTCAAGTCCCATAACAAGTCTTTTATTTAATAAGCACATCCCTTAACCAGTCTTTATTACTTAGGCAAGATGATGAAGCTACCCACTCATTTTCTCCGCCTAGTGACCCGCCCTCCCCCGTTTTCTACCTTTACGCCTTTCTTTGTAGCCTTTTTATGACATATGTATAAGGAGGTATCTCAATTTAAGATCTTTATGTGTTTGAAAGCTAGTGAACTTCAATAGGGTTTTAGATGGAGAAATTTCTTTTTCTGTTCATTCACAGATTAGAGGATTCTTCCATATCACCAAAATAAATTTCTGGCAAATGTTAGAAGCTAATAGCAAAAATTCTAACTGTAAAATCAGAAATATCAGCTCTTTTGGAACACTACACAGTCATAATCTTTCCATCTTCTTTTATATTTTATTTCCTTTGCCATTTTGTTACAAAACTAGAACTTGCCAGCACTAAGTCAATACACTACAAGAAGCAATTAAGCAAGCTAAAACGAAAAAAAACATCAATTGGGAAAATATCAACAAAACAAAAAAAAAGTTGCTATCTTTGCAAAAAATAAAAAATAAAAAAAATTACCTGACCCTTTTCGCTAACAACAAGCAAATCATCAGAATCATCACCACCTCTCTCGTTCTCAACTTCAACAGGCTTATCTGGGTCTTCCTCCAAAACCACACAATCATCATCGTCATCATCGTCAGGCTTAGCAGTAGCATTACTTACAGACTTCAAATTTTGCTTCGATGGGTTCATAATAACTTCCCCCACTATCACCACATCGTCAGAAGAATCGTCCTTTTTGCGTCCATCCCCTTCATCCAAAAGCTCCATTATCCACGAATAGTCATCGCTCCCTCCGCCGTCGCCGCCCACTTCTTCGTCAGAGCTTATATCGAATATCACTCTCTCCGGATCAACCATCATGCCCATTGACCCGTGAATCGAATTTCCTCAATTTCTTCAATCCCCCCAAAATGTCACACGTTTCTCTTTGCCCAATTTTCAAACAAAATAACCAAGATTTTGTAAAATAAAACAAAATCTAGGTTTTAAAAACAACAAAGAGAATACTAAGGTTTGTGGAAAATAACTCAGAAGTGTACACAGGTGAAGAGAAAGTGATAAATTAAAACCCTACTTTACCCAATTTAAAACAAATTTGAAAAGAAAAAAATTGGATTATGGAGCTATTTTGCTCATTCTCACTCCTCTTCAGTTATTTTTTTATATTTTCTGCGCTAAGTCATTGGTTGGTTGAGTCATGGCTCGGGGGGGACAGGAGGGTGGGGGGGGTGGGGGGGGGCGAGTACGTGTAGGGGGGGGGGGGGGGACGAGTACGTGTAGGGAAAAGTAACAAATTACGAGTTACGTTTACCGTTTCTTAATTTTGTAGGCGAAAGTACATAGTACTTTAATTATTACAACTAGTTTGTATAAACGTGCATTTAAATATCAAAAAATATTATTACATTAGCATAATACAATTGAACATTATCTTAACCTGCAAAATGATCAATTTAGTCATACATTTAGATAATATCGCTATGGAGTTATAGTTTGAAAAATGATACTTACCTAAGACTTATTTGTAGATGATGTGTTTTGCGTATATTTCCTTCTGAACGTTGATTGTTCCCTCATCACCAAAATCTTATTATCGATGTTAATATTTCTTTTGAAAGTACAATATATAATTGTCCGTACGAAAAAATATTGCGGTAAATACGATACAATGATTGGGATTGTTTACGTTTGTTCTTTATTTATTGTCATTGGCAGGGGCGAAGCTAGGTTGGCCTAAGGGTGGTCCACTGACCACCCTTCGACCAAAAATTATACTATGTATAAGGTAAAATATTACTTGTTTGATTAAAAATAGACTTTGAACACTGTTGCATAGCCCACTGGCAAAGGTGTTCAAAATTTGAACACTCTTATTGAATTTCTGGCTTCGTCACCGATCATTAGAAAGCATAAGTATATTACAAATTATTGTCGGACAAATTTAAAGGATATCTTTCATTTTCTGGAGGCAAAAGTTAAATTCTAGAGATAAATACATGCTTGGAAGTGCATTTTCAATAGATTTTTGCATGTATGATATTATTATTTAAACCTCTATATACCATTACATAAGCTATTTGATGGATCTAAGTTTCTCATTAACATGGTAGGCATATTTTTTAAGATCAAACATGTACACAATGAAAGATCAATTTTAACATTGTCTATTATATACATATATGACACTAACATACATAAGAAATAATGAATTTGATAAGATACATGTATGATAGAAGCTCATTTCGTGTTCAAGTATTTAAGTATTCTTCTTGGTAGTAATTGTTGATATCATCCTCTACTGAGTCGAAATTGAAAACTATTTTTCTTTTACCAAGGAACTTGGCAATCATCATCTCATTTAGTTGATAACACATTTATTATTCTGGCTGAGATAGTTATTTTCTTAATGATCCTTATTAAGCAATCTTCACCAATAGTATCATCTTGGGGCTTGATAACTAATTATTTTAGACGGAGGAACAAATCATCTTTTATTATAGGCTCTTCTCCATTTTTGATACGAAGCAAGAAATCGTTGAATGTTGGATATGTCCTTGCTCTCAAATTTTTTGTCAGCTGAATCCTTTTCATTTAAGAACATAAGTATGATTACAATCTTTGCTCTCGTCGATTTTAGAACTATTGGTAGTATCTAGAAATTACCTTAAAAAATATAACTTTTTTACCAAATGGTTCATTGACATCCCTTACATCTCTGAAGCTCCAATCAACGGGTTCGATCGTATGACACTCTATCATATGCGCTTCATCCTAGATTATCAACTTTGATTTCTTATCAATTTAGCACCACCACTCTGCTTTGACATATTTGTGATGGTTGTTTTACTTGTTTGAAGAGATATGTTGAATCTAGAGTGAGTTGTAGGACACGACTTATATTATTTTATAACGCTATTATGCATCTTGATCTGACATTTACATTTAATGCACGATATAAGAATGATTTTCTAGTTCCTCCAGGGCCTTCTTCAAAGAACAATCAGCTCTACCAGATTAACTCTTTGCAATATAGTCTTGAAAGCTTGCTCTTGTTTAGGATTTAGTTTTAATGGTGCGTTGAAATCTTCCTCAAGTATTTGTATAAACTTTTCCTTCAATAATTTCATTGCATTCTGCATTCCGAGCAACATTATCATCTCGACCCTGATCAAGTTTAGGTAAATCATATTTGTCAGCGCTCTTGCCCATGCTCTATAACTACGATTCTAGTAACCCTTTGCAGCTTCCTTGAATGTTTGGCATTCTCTTTCATTAAAAGTTTTTAAATGAAAGAGTCCTCTGACATAATCTATATATATAATAAAGCTGGGAAAATAAAAGATGATGTGGCATGTTTCTTTGGCCAAGGATCACATTTATCTTTTTTCTTAGATTTTACACATTTTTCCTTATTTTTGCATTTAAAATTTGCTAACAATTAAGTATTCCTTATTTATTTATTTATTTATTTATTTCATCATTAATATACTATTCATCTCTTTTCCTAAAACGTTTCTATACTTTTTTCCGTTATATTTTTTCCTTCACTTAAACCTCATCATTATTGCTATTTATTTCTTTCCTTTAAATCTTTCTATTTTCTGTCTATGCATTAGTTTTTTTCCATAACTCAAAAATAGTTCCAATGCTCAAGGACTGTTCCAATAGAAAGAATTTTGCTCTCTAGAAAATCAATTCTAATCCTATATTATTTTGTAACTTTATTTGTTTTACTTGATATATCATCTGAAATTATAGTTTGTGTAACATTTTTATTCATGTTTGATTTCCTCAATTGCATTTGAATTTGAAAGTACAGCCTTTCTTTGTTTTCCTGCCCTCCCATGAGTGAAAATAAAAATGGAGAACAAGGGACTGTGGTTAGCCAGAAATTGGTAGAAGAATACCAGGTATGTCACGGTTTTTTCATATTAAAAAAATATGTCACCCTGCTAAAATGGAGTCATAACTATGCACTAATAAATCGACTTCTTTATCGTTCTCCTATTCTGATTTTTGATTCTCACTTCTTCCAAGTTCTTTTCACGTTGTCACACCCAACATTAGGCATTTACACACATAATCCTTGAAGTTTATTGGAAGGATTAAGAATTTAACAACATTTTATTTTTATCGTTCTTTCTTTTGATTTACTTTTGATTGTTATACTGTAAGAAAATTATAACATTAATATAATTTACAGATTGCCTGGATGAAAATTTTGTCAATGTCTAATCTTCAAAGGAGATTTGGAGCAGCATCAAGTAATTGACTTTACAGTTGTGGCAAGTAATTCGGTAATTCCTTTTGAATTTCTCCATGGGAAGGGAGAAGCAAAAAAGATGTTGTACCTGTTTAGTACATAAAAGAGTAAACTTCTTTGCTTTTTCTATCCAGTGCAATAGGTTTCTCAAGTTTTGTAAATGCCTAATTTAGTAAAATGTAGTAAAACAAGAATTCACATGTCATTAAAAAAAAATTAACTGATTATTTATAGATGTAAATGTTATATAAAAATTTGGGTTGCAAAATACTTTTAGTTAATTATCTATAAATATAAATAGAATGGTTGTTATGGTTTCAACCTTTCATATTCCATATTTATAAACCGTTACAATCTTTCGTCATACTCCATATTTATAAAGAATAAAGAATTCCTACATTTGCAATGGCTTTTTTACCTTCAAGTTTCTTCCCTTTTCCTCTAGCCATTTATATTGCTTCTACAATTCTCATTTTCATTAAGAATATGTGAGTTAAGCTTTTGCATTGGCTATGTTCCAACGGAACTTGGTACTCATTTTTGTTTTGGGAATTACTATTTTTTGACTATTTTATAATTGATATTCTTGAAAAAAAAATTAATTCAGGTCTCGATATATGCCCTAACAGCCAGCACCAGCCATAATTGTCAAAAATAAGATTATGAGAATTTGGAAACAAATTAATGATACGACTAGGCATTAGTTGTGTTGCAAGATATATGAAGTCAGATAAGTTGACTTCTAATTCGATGAGTTGCTCGAGGTTAACGAGCAATATTGTGAGGTTGGACATGTTTTTTTGAAAAGCATGAGAAATACATATTACATACATTCAGGTGTATTATATGATTATAAATATTTTGTGCTAGATATTACACATTAAAATTTAAAAAAAAAAAGAGATTTAAATATTTGAGAAAGAACAAGCAACCTTGAGAAATTAATTTCAAGGCTTATCGAAAAATATACAAATAATAAAGTTGGTCAAAGAGTACTACCTCCGACATCACCAATTGGAGGTCTTAGAGACATGCGACCATATAAACTTTTGTATATTTAATTTTTTTTAAACTTTTGTATATTTTATTTTGTATTTTGTCGGGGTTTAATATTTTTAGAAATTTAGATGGTATAGATATGTAACTAAATTATGACTTTAATAATATTATATTACCGCGCGAAGCGCGAATAAATTCACTAGTTCAACAATAATCATAGTACATTTCACGTTCTATGGTTAGTTGCATTATTCAAGAAACGAGGATAATAAATAAAATTTACAAAAAAGATATAAGAAAACTTTTGGGTGAAATGTTAAACTCCTTCCAAATAGCAATTTGACTAATTACAATTTTTTTTTGCTTCCTTGGCTTCGGCTGAAGGTTCTAGACATAATACTCTGAATTTTTTTTGTGTAAGTGCATTCGTCCTTCATCATATGTTGAATATGTCTTGATTTACTCATTGAGCGTGGTTCGCTTGATATTATTCAATGCTATAATAGTTTGTAAAAATTTTCTTTTCCAATAGTGCACTAAGTAAAGATATTTTGTTAAATATTAATCGACTTTTATGTCCTTAAATAATTATTTAGTGAAGTAAATTAACGGTGGATATAATTGTAACTAACTACAATTTTAATTTTTGAAGAATCCGTGTTTGCCAAACCAACATTTCCTGGTGAATCTCAATTCCATGATATATGGATAAAATTATAATAGTTAAAATGATTTCTGATCTTGAACTACTCATTGAACATGGTTCACTTGATATTATTTAATACTATAACATTTTGCAAATTCTGTTTTTTTCCAATAGTACGCTAAGTAAATGTATTTTGTTAGAATTCGTATATTTGATATGTTAATAAGAATTTATAGTGAAGTATACCTTT